CAGATATTTAAAAAAGTGGAAAATTATTGGTATTTTGAGAGATGCTACATGTAAATTTTGTACATTTTTCATCACATGGCAGTAAAAAATTATATTTTTGAAAAAAATTCCAAATTATGAGTGTTTTCTATGTAGTTTCTTTGTAACTTGTCTAATTTTTTCACAGAACTCAGATACTGCCTTTAATAAGAAAGATTTGAGATGCACCAGTGTACATAAAGCAGCATGTGTACTTAAAGGGCCATCATTTTTACAGTTATTCTTTGATTTTGATTTTCTTTCACCGGCATGTTGCCAGAACCCATGGGAAGGAAATAAAAAGGGCCTTTTGGTGATACCTGAAGTTTCACCCCTATATAGGACACAGATCACCAAATATTCCTACGCCGTCACCCACGAAACAAGGGCCAAAGCTATTTTTAGTCTTCCTCTCCCTTTTCCTCCCTTTTGCATGGCGATTTTTGTTGACTTTTTGGTGTAGAATCGAGGAAAAGGGTTTGAAAATACATTTTCTGCCAGGTTTTGGTGAATATTCATAATATTGATGCGGAAGGATACAAGAGTTGAGAGGTTGGTTAGGTTGAAATGTAGGGCCTGAAATTGCATGTTTACTTGTCTCTACTTCCAGCTTGTGTATCTCAAGTTTTTCATGAAGAACCTCATACGTGCTTTTGGGCAAGTGGTTGCCACATGTTGCTCCATCTGTGGTAGAAAGCGTTCTACCCAACGAAAATTTGGGAAAAAGTTAGAGCCGGTCTAAGATACGAGAATTAACATTGGAGTCAATGGGGAAATCTTTAGTGATCTGTGTCCAAATGACTGAGGAAGATACTGATAATTTACCAGATCTTGATGAAATAACAGTACATGGTCCGCCTTTAGATACATGTCTTCAAACTTGATCTAGCACAAGACGTTGTAGACCAGTATGATAGTATTTTTTCTATTTCTCCAGCAGAAAACAACAAACCTATCAAGATACAGACAAAGGCAATGAAGCAATGTGTTTCCCAACTCTCTTTCCAGCTGGAAAAAATACATTTTCAGACAATCGTGATGAACGAATTACTTTGGGTCGTTATTTACACTGTCGTTTGATGAATGTCGACAATCGATTTGCTAGAAAAACAGATTACATTTTTTATGCACAGTATATGTATGAACTCAGTCAAGTCATATCAAGTATTTCAATTGCTTTAAGAAAAGGAAAAGCCAATGGCAATAAAATTACATCAGAAATTTTGACAAATGAAGACCCGTTGAAAAACATACTGAAGACTGATCAAGGATATCATTTTCTTAATTCAGTACGTGGATCTCCTAGTTATTGGAAAAGTACACAGTCAGATTTATTTGCTATGTTGAGACAACTCGGATTCCCTTCGTGGTTTATTTCCCTGTCCGCTGCTGAAAGCCGCTGGAGACATATTATTGAAACAATATTAAAGCAACAAGGCGATAACAGAGAGGCAAAAGATTTAGATTGGACTGAAAAAAATGAAATTTTGCGAAGTAATCCAATAACCACAGCAAGAATGTTTGATCATAGATTTCATTTTTTCTTAAAGAATTTTATCATGTCAAAAGCTGAGCCAATTGGTAAAGTAAAAGATTATTTCTACCGCATTGAATTCCAATTGAGAGGATCGCCCCATGTACATGCCTTGATTTGGATAGAGAATGCACCAGTTCTTGGTAAAGACCCAGATAACAAAGTGGTAGAATTTGTGGATAAGTACATTACTTGTAAAATGCCAAATAGGTTGGTTGATGAAGAACTGCATGAAATTGTTTTAAATGTTCAAATGCACAGTAAAAAACATTCAAACTCATGTAGAAAGAAAAACACAGTTTGTCGATTTAATTTTCCAAGACCACCCCCTAAAGAAACATTTGTTTGTCGATCTGTTGATATGAGAGAAAATGATGATGAACCTTCTAGCATTCATGATCTTACAAACGATCAGGCCAAGTTAGTTCTTGAAAGCATGTGGAAGTCTCTGTCAGACCCTGACAAAAGTTATGATTGCATTGATGAATTATATACAGAACTTGGAATGACACAGGAGTTGTTTGTAAAAGCATGTGAAAAATTGACCAAGATAAATTATTTAGTTCTTAAAAGAGATCATAGTGATGTGTGGATTAACCAGTATAATCCTGATTTACTTAGAGCATGGGATGCTAATATGGATATTCAGTATGTATTTGATTCTTATAGTTGCATTGTTTATATTGTATCCTATATTTCAAAATCTGAGAGGGAAATTGGTCTATTACTAGCACAGGCACATAAAGAGTCAGTTGATGGGAATTTAGATGCCAAAAGTAGTTTAAACCAGCGGCTGCCAGGCAGCTAGGATACGCCCACATTTTTGAGAGATGGATAGAGAACAAGCTAAAAAGAAAGTGATTTTTCCTACAATCAAGGGCCATAATTCAGGAAATTACAATTCGATATGCGCAAATATCGGAAGGATCCAAGATCTGTGGGTTATAAACTTACATTTCAAGTTTCAACAAAATCGGATAAAAATTGTGACCTCTATAGGGTACAAAACCTTGATATACCATATTTTTACGCTATTTCAGAACGAGGGGCGGCCATTTTGTCTGTCAGTTTTGGGATGATTTTCACGAAATTCGAACTCAGCCGTCCTTAGGGTGTAACGGTGATATAATAAAACGTTTTTTTAAATCGGATAAAAATTATGACCTATAGGGTACAAAAGCTAAAAACTCGATTTTTCGTACAATCAGGGGCCATAATTCAGGCAGTAACGGTCCGATAAGCGCGAATATCGAAAGGAACGGAGATCTTTGGGTTATAAACTTACATTTCAAGTTTCAACAAAATCGGATAAAAATTGTGACCTCTATAGGGTCCACAACCTTGATATACCATATTTTTACGCTATTTGAGAACGAGGGGCGGCCATTTTGTCTGTCAGTTTTGGGCCGATTTTCACGAAATTCGAACTCAGCCATCCTTATGGTGTAACGGTGATATAATAGTACGTTTTTTTTAAATCGAATAAAGATAGGTTGCCAGGCAACGAAACATACGCCCACAGCAGCTATATCGTCCGAGCAGTCAACAAGAGTTGTTGCATATTTTTACTTTTTTCGGTAATGAAACATTTATAATACATTTAAATCTGATTAAGAGTAACAACTCATTAAGTAATTATCAGAAAACCATTAGAATTTGTTTGGTTTTTATAAAGTTCTGTCCCATGCTAATGTTTAGTATACAAAATTTTTAACATCATGGATTTAGCTGTTCAAGTCATAAAGATTCATTGAAAATCAATATACTTGTTCGTCTCAAGAGCTTAAACTCTGTGTACCAATCTGAAGTCAATCGGATGATAACTTTAGCCTCTAGAGCGTCACAAGATTTTTAAAGTGATCAATATGATCAATATGATTCTTCATCTCATGACCTCAAACACTGTGTATAAATTTAAAGTCAATCAGATAATAATTTTAGACTCTACAGCCTCCAGAAGATTTTTCAAAGTGATCAAGGGTCATAACTCTGGCAGTAATTATCGGAAATCGCTGAAAATCAATAGGATTCTTCGTCTCATGACCTTAAACACTGTGTATAAATTTAAAGTCAATCGGATATTAACTTTAGCCTCTAGAGCTTCCACAAGATTTTTCAAAGTGATCAAGGGCGATAACTCTGGTAGTAATTATCGGAAATTGCTGAAAATCAATAGGCTTCTTCGGCTTATAACCTTAAACACTGTGTATAAATCTAAAGTCAATCGGATATTCACTTTAGCCTCTAGAGCGTCCACAAGATTTTTCAAAGTAATCAAGGGCCATAACTCTGACAGTAATTATCGGAAATCGATGAAAATCAATAGGCTTCTTCGTCTCATGACCTTAAACACTGTGTATAAATTTAAAGTCAATTAGATATTAACTTTGGCCTCTAGAGCGTCCACAAGATTTTTTGAAGTGATCAAGGGCCATAACTCTGGCAGTAATTATCGGAAATCGCTGAAAATCAATAGGCTTCTTCGACTCATGGCCTTAAACACTGTATATAAATTAAAGTCAATCGGATATTAACTTTAGCCCCTAGAGCGTCCACAAGCAATTGTGGACGCCGGACGGACGGACGGCGACGACAATATACGACCACATTTCAATGTGGGCGTATAAAAATGTAGGTCAAATTTGAAAATTTTGAAAAATAACAAAAATTGTCTCTTAAACAACATTTTTCATTTTTCGAACGCCAGAAGTCAGCGACGAAGTTTCAAAATTTCGAAATTTTCAACTGCTATCGTCCGAGAAAAGACTCAGGGTTTCTGAAAATGTCATTTGTATGAAAATGGGTACAGAATTGACGAAGCTACGGCCGTTTTTTAATTTTTATGCACGGCACGAAATTCGGCCACTTCGGGTCTGCGCAGAAGTTTCAAAATTGTTTTATCAAGTAGCCACCACATGGTTTCCCGATAGAAAATTTGGTTCCAGATCGATATCCTTTTTCGATCTTGGAGAAATAGGCTCCCGCGGAAAAAAATAATAATTTTAGTAAAAACAATAGTCTTTCAGACAAAAGTCTGAAAGCCTAATACTAATAATAATTTTAGTAAAAACAATAGTCTTTCAGACAAAGTCTGAAAGCCTAATAATAATTTTAGTAAAAACAATAGGCTTTCAGACAAAGTCTGAAAGCCTAATAATTTTAGTAAAAACAATAGTCTTTCAAAGTCTGAAAGCCTAATAATAATCTTAACAAAAACAATAAGTTTTCATATGAAATATGATAGCTTAATAATAATCTTAACAAAAACAATAGTGTTTCACATAAGCTACGCAGTGTGAAACCCTAATAATGAGAATAACAATAGTGTTTCACACAAGCTACTGTTCCATCAGTAAAAATAATAACTTCTTCAGGAATGAAGAACTAAATACAATGTGGATGTAATAAAAAGGGCTATGAACAAGGATTAGCTTAGTTATACATGTACCTGAACTGTTTATTTGATGAAGAAGCGGCAAACTGTATTGGATTCATAATCAGATCAAATATACTACTAGCTACTGGTGTTGGTGGTATTATTGTTCTATCTTCTATACTAGGTGGTACTTTCTCATTTAATATACATCGCATACACTCAAAATAGCCTGAAATATACATCTCATATATTAAAGCTGCAATTTCATATTTTTATGTTATATTTTTAAAATTTATTAAAATAAAGCCTTAAAATAGATGGTATCTATAAACAGTCCTACCTTGTTAAAGAATAATCCTATTAATCCTATAATTCACTATTGCCAGTTGAGAAATTGGCAAAAATATCATTTTCAACTTTAAATTCAAACGTTTGAAGATAGCTATTCCATGGGGGGGGGGGGGGGAAAATAGAAAAACAAGGGAGGTAATTGTGTTATTTTCGGGGTCAAAGGATTTTTTAAGAGGGAGAATAATACCTATAATCGTATAAAAGTGAGTTGACAACCTATTGAGCAAAAGACATAGAAATAATTATGTTTTGACTTTCTTAGAAAATATGAAATTATCGCTTTAAACGGACAATAACACTCTTGCTGTAACTGAATAATATGTCCAAATCTTCATTTTAGTCAACAAATTGTACTATTATACAATATCCCAATTCATTAGTGATATATGCATGATCTATCAACGGTATTTAAAAAAAATGGAAAAATTCCGTTGGGTGGATGGTGTTCTCCAAGTTCACTATAAGAGACTGGTAAAAACAGTCTACAAAGCGGAAAAGAGAGAATCCCATTGTAGCGCATGCGCAAAACGTCAAATACGCCTCGCTCTGTAATGTTTATACATCTAGCTGACAGTTTTAGAGGGAGAGAGAGAGAGTGAAATGGGGTTTAACGTCCACTCGACACAAACTAGGTCATTTCGGGACTAACATATGGTTCAATTTTATTTCCATAATTCGTTTGCGCGTAGGGATCTTTAGCTGTGGGAGGAAACCGGAGGACCCGGAGAAAACCCACGAGGTTGGACAGGCGACCCTACTCCTTGTCACGTACAACCGGGGATTCGAAACCACGCCAGTCGACTCAATGACAGACTTTATGATACATCGCGTGCACGCTAACCATTCAGCCATCCAACCCCCCCCCCCCCAGTTTTAGAGGATATGGAACTTGAACTGCTACGATTCATGCCAAACCATGAATCCATTTTTTTTCCTGGTAAGTTTATACTCATTACGATTATTCACTTATGCTCTAATGGCTTCAAAGTCCGCAACGAACTGCGAAGTGAATGATTGGAATTTAGATTGAATGATTGTCATTTGTAATGGTAGGCCTACTTCGACTAAATTATTATCAGTCACTCGACTCACTGCATGACTGCACTTGGTTTGGTTACCGGTACCAAATTGATCGATCAAACAGACAGATTATATTTAAAATTTGATGATTGGGTTCATTTTTAGCTTTGATTAGACCTAATACCGATATGGATTCATGCACCTGCATTTTTTAAATTGATAATGAGTAATCATAGAAGCTGATTATTTTAAACTTCTTGAAGTTGCAACATGGTTTCAATCTCAAAATATATAAATAATATCAAATTAAATGAATCATTCATCAGATTTATTTCTGCACTTTTGAACTTGATAATTATTATGACTGACAGTGTCCTATGTGTGTATTAAATTCATTGGTGCCAATGAAGAAGCAGTTACTTGTGATTCCTGTGGTAAATGGACACCTAAGACATGTAGAACAGGCCCGACAAATTTCTTGTGTGCAATTAGGCTATTAATTAGGTTTATTGGCTCGAATTTTCTATGAGTTAAGAAAATCCTTTTTTTATTCATTTTGCATTTTGGTTTTACAGGTATTTCGAAAGCTGTCTATTTGAGGTCAGTCAAAACTGGGAGTGATCTACCATTCTTGTGTCGGGAATGCCAGGTGGAATCATTTAATTCATTACCAGATGTTGACACCCCCCCCCCCCCACTATTACTTACTTTATCAATTATGCCAGAAGCAACTCATGCTGCCCAACCTTCAACATAAACAGCATCATCTACATCAAGGACAATTAGATCTTAACGGAAGCTGCAATTACATGTAACGTCATTCAAAACCACCCCACCGAGACCAAAAAGAGGGAAAAGACAAAAAGGGAAAACTGAGTCAACAAGGGAGAGGGTCGAAAGACTCAAAAAAGAAAAAAACTGAGGGACTCAAGGTTAGAAAACTCTTTTTTTAATAGTTGTAAAATATATACACAGAAACAGCAAGCAAGAATATTTATGAAACCAAATTTTTAAGATTAAGATATAAAGAAATATTTTGTAAGCTCACAATGGATTATTATTCACACACTTTCTTGTAATTATATAACAAATATATATATGATCATTTCTGGTCATAATTATATAAAATATTTACACAGTATGTAAGCCCAGAGATAATTATTTACAAATTGCAAACATAATTTTCAAATAATTTCAGAAACTGGTAAGTGGATGGATGTAGGATACTTTTGTTGTCTGTGGCTGAAAAAATGCCTGCAGTTTTATTTGACATTTCTGAAGAACTAAGAAACCAACAGCCAATCCAACCCCCATATCCAACCTCAACTGCACCAGACTGGTGTTCCTATGACAGATGTGGAGATATGCCAACAGATATTGAGAAGTTATGTTGCGGTACCAGACCAGAGAATTGTATTTCATTACCACCAGTAAGTGATTTTTTTCTGTAATAATATCCTTTGATATATTTCATCCACAAAAATTAATGTCATTGGTCCGGGTAGTACCGGCAGCAGGAAGTTCTGCAGCCTTCATTTCAGTCACTTCAAATTGGCTAGTTTACTGAAAATAGATTTTAAAAATAGTTAAATATACATTATGCAAGAGCTAAATCTGCCTATTGTAGGTTTTTCTTTAGGCCTGAAATGTTATACAAACTATTAATTAGACATTAATTAACGTATCCTGACCATAATCAACTGTCGATGTCAACGCTAACCTGCGATATTTGTTGGATTATGATCCGATTTGCTGCATAACTTACCGACTTTAGTAATGATGACCAAGGCTATGTGGAACTTTCGATCGCTTATTTCTCGGTTCATAGTGGATCAATTTGGCTGAAATCTTCAGCAAATTGCCTTTACATTATCTAGTTTTTAACTATTATAGTGAGAACTGCCAACTCGTTATCTAATCTCGCATAATGTATCTTTAATTTAATTTTTTCAGGAGTTTGAACAGTCTTGTTTAGAGTCACAAGTTCTGGATCTTGCTAATGTATATAGAAACGGTGTACTAGCAACTGATATGGACTAAGACATTAATCGAAGGAGAAGACTTGCAGCCTACAGATAATTTGTTATGTGGTGGTACAGGGAATAGAGTAGTACACTAGGGATTTGGTATCGTTTAGAACGGGGTTTTTAGCACTGGAAAGTATGCATAGCGTTTACTTTCAAAACATCGTTCGTTAATTGATAAAAATCTTTTAAGAATTACATAAATGGGTTAGTTAGTACTATGGCTTAGTTTAATGGTGACGAGTTTAGTTTCTCCTAGAGGCGTTTAAAAATGGCCGACTCGTTCACTTATCTACGACGTTCACTTATTAGACGAGCCGTCTGCTTTACCGAGATACATTGAAAAATCAACACACTGTTTACTTATCTACGGCCTTTACTTATTAGACGAGCCGTTTACTTTCCCGAGATACGATGAAAAATCAACACATGATTAATTTATCTACGGCGTTTAAAAATTAGATGAACCTTTTAATTTCCTGTGAGCCGTTTATCCGATCGGTTAATTTTGATTACGATTAATTACATATGAAGTACGAATAAAAAAGGGGAATATAAAAATGCACATCCATAGATGATCACCTTACCGGGGTCGTAGTATTATATATTATCCATTATCCTATAAACTTGGTATTCCATCACTGACAAATAAATAAAAGATAGGTTGCCAGGCAACGAAACATACGCCCACAGCAGCTAAATTGTCCGGGCAGTCAACAAGTGTTGTCGCATATTTTTACTTCTTTCGGTAATGAAACATTTATAATACACTCATGAAGTAATTATCAGAAAACCATTAGAATTTGTTTGATTTTTAATATCATGGATTTAGCTGTTCAAGTCATAAAAATTCATTGAAAATCAATATACTTGTTCGTCTCAAGCTCTTAAACTCTGTGTATCAATCTGAAGTCAATCGGATGATAACTTTAGCCTCTAGAGCGTCACAAGATTTTTCAAAGTGATCAAGGGCCATAACTGTGACAGTAATTATCGAAAATCACTGAAAATGAATAGACTTCTTTGTCTTATGACCTTAAACACTGTGTATAAATTTAAAGTCAACCGGATATTGACTTTGGCCTCTAGAGCGTCCACAAGATTTTTCAAAGTGATCAAGGGCCATAACTCTGGCAGTAAATATCGAAAATCACTGAAAATGAATAGACTTCATCTCATGACCCTAAACACTGTGTATAAATTTAAAGTCAATCGGATATTAACTTTAGCCTTTAGAGTGTCCAAAAGATTTTTCAAAGTGATCAAGGGCCATAACTCTGGCAATACTTATCGTAAATCGCTGAAAATAAATAGGCTGCTTCGTCTCATGACCTTAAGCACTGTGTATAAATTTAAAGCCAAACGGATATAAACTTTGGCCTCTAGAGCGTCCACAAGATTTTTTTGAAATGATCAAGGGCCATAACTCTGGCAGTAATTATAGAAAATCACTGAAAATGAATAGAGTTCTTCGTCTCATGACCTTAAACACTGTGTATAAATTTAAAGACAATCGGATATTGACTTTAGCCTCTAGAGCGACCACAAGATTTTTCAAAGTGATCAAGGGCCATAACTCTGGCAGTAATTATCTGAAATCGCTGAAAATCAATAGGCTTCTTCGTCTCATGACCTTAAACACTGTGTATAAATTTAAAGTCAATCAGATATTAACTTTGGCCTTTAGAGCGTCCACAAAATTTTTTGAAGTGATCAAGGGCCATAACTCTGGCAGTAATTATCGAAAATCGCTGAAAATGAATAGACTTCTTTGTCTCATGACCTTAAACACTGTGTATAAATTTAAAGTCAATCGGATATTAACTTTAGCCTCTAGAGCATCCACAAGATTTTTCAAAGTGATCAAGGGCCATAACTCTGGCAGTAATTATCTGAAATCGTTGAAAATCAATAGGCTTCATCGTCTCATGACCTTAAACACTGTGTATAAATTTAAAGTCAATCGGATATTAACTTTGACCTGTAGAGCGTCCACAAGATTTTTTAAAGTGATCAAGGGCCATAACTCTGGCAGTAATTATTGAAAATCGCTGAAAATCAATAGGCTGCTTCGTCTCATGACCTTAAGCACTGTGTATAAATTTAAAGTCAATCGGATATTGACTTTAGCCTCTAGAGCGACCACAAGATTTTTCAAAGTGATCAAGGGCCATAACTCTGGCAGTAATTATCTGAAATCGCTGAAAATCAATAGGGTTCTTCGTCTCATGACCTTAAACACTGTGTATAAATTTAAAGTCAATCAGATATTAACTTTGGTCTTTAGAGCGTCCACAAGTGATCAAGGGCCATAACTCTGGCAGTGATTATCGAAAATCGCTGAAAATGAATAGACTTCTTTGTCTCATGACCTTAAACACTGTGTATAAATTTAAAGTCAATCGGATATTAACTTTAGCCTCTAGAGCATCCACAAGATTTTTCAAAGTGATCAAGGGCCATAACTCTGGCAGTAATTATCTGAAATCGTTGAAAATCAATAGGCTTCATCGTCTCATGACCTTAAACACTGTGTATAAATTTAAAGTCAATCGGATATTAACTTTGACCTGTAGAGCGTCCACAAGATTTTTTTAAGTGATCAAGGGCCATAACTCTGGCAGTAATTATCGAAAATCGCTGAAAATCAATAGGCTTCTTCGTCTCATGACCTTAAACACTGTGTATAAATTTGAAGTCAATCGGATATTAACTATGGCCTGTAGAGTGTCCACAAGATTTTTTTAAAGTGATCAAGGGCCATAACTCTGGCAGTAATTATCGGAAATCGCTGAAAATCAATAGGCTTTTTCGTCTCATGACCTTAAACACTGTGTATAAATTTAAAGTCAATCGGATATTAACTTTGGCCTTTAGAGCGTCCACAAGATTTTTTGAAGTGATCAAGGGCCATAACTCTGGCAGTAATTATTGAAAATCGCTGAAAATCAATAGGCTTCTTCGTCTCATGACCATAAACACTGTGTATAAATTTAACGTCAATTGGATATTAACTTTGACCTCTAGAGCGTCAACAAGATTTTTTGAAGTGATCAAGGGCCATAACTCTGGCAGTAATTATCGGAAATCGCTGAAAATCAATAGGCTTCTTCGCTTCATGACCTTAAACACTGTGTATTAATTTAAAGTCAATCGGATATTAACTTTAGCCTCTAGAGCGTCCACAAGCAATTGTGGACACCGGACGGACGGGGGCGACGACAATATACGACCACATTTCAATGTGGGCGTATAAAAATCGGTAAATCATGTCCCAGGTAATTATACAATTGGAAATCAGTATATCACATCCCAGGTTATGTATCTTTTTTAAATCACAAATGAATGAACTAGTCTTTGTTCGTTCGTTCTTGGTGTTTAACGTCTGCTTCCACATAAGTGATATCGCAGACAAGACATAGGAAAGCCGAAGCTGATTCCTGTTTTTTAGAAAATGATTTTGCAATCTTTCCATTTGGCCTTAGGCCATGGATTTGGTTTAGTGGGAAGTTCTTCCCTTTATTTAATATAAAACATATCGTTTGGTAGATGATCTCGTCTGCTTCTGGATTGGTAGATGTCATCGTTTTAGTGTTTAGGTGCCAGGCCCGTCTTATCGTGGCCTCCCCTTACTCCACTATCCCACTCTCTGGGTTTGGTATCAGTTTTATTTGCGGAATAGTGTTTAGGTGCCGAGTTCGTCTGACCGTAACCCCCCCTTACTCCACTATCCTGCTAGTTTGGTAGATGTCATCTTTGTGGGGTTTGTGTTTAGGTGCCAGGCCCGTCTTATCGTGACCTCCCCTTACTCCACTATCCCACTCTGTAGGTTTGGTGTCTGTTTTTGGTGGAATAGTGTTTAGATGCCGAGTCCGTCTGATCGTGACTCCCCCTTACTCCACTATCCTGCCAGTTTGGTATAAATCCCCTATGTAGTTTAGTGTTTAGATGCCGGGCCCGTCTAACCGTGACCCCCTCTTACTTCACTATTCTACTTAGTCCAACTGTGTCCATTAGGGCGGGGATTTGTTCGAAGATTTGCAGTTTCAGGGTCCGATTCCTAGAAAATTCTTAAGCACGTTCTTGTGCTTAGATTTAAGTAGACTTTGCATTCCCAGAAAATTCTTAAGAACATTCTTGTGCTTATATTTTAAGTAGACTTCATTCTAAGCACAAGAACGTTATTATGCGTTCCAACAAAAAACTTAAGCACAACTTCGTTCTTAAACATAGTCAATCTAAGCACAAGTCCCAAGCAAGGTATACGGCTTGCTTACCAACCTTAAGTCTGTTTATGCTTCAAAAAGATGGCTGACGGTAGAGTTATTCGACGGCATTTCCGACACCTTTTGATACCAAAGAGACAGAGAAAATCCTTCTCCAGAAGAAATTTCAAATTAAGAATGCTATAGAAAATTTCGCTTCTAGGCCTACCCTGAAACCATTTTATTTATTTGCCAATTAGTAAACAATAGGCTACAAACACCCAGGATACTTTAAGATCAGGCGCTCTCACAATTATTCAGTTAGTTTGTACGT